GATGCAAGAGTTTCTAACCTTTTGTATGCATTTTCTAATTCAAGATGTGATATTTTCAAGGAATCATGCTCTTTAGTTAAATCAAAACACTTTTTATGAGTCAAATTCATCTAACAAAGGCAAGTGATTTCTATATAAAGTGGAATGATCTTTTTTTAGGATTTCATGCTCTTTCTATAGATTTAAAAAATCAATTTTGAGACTAGCATGTAATTTCTTGAGCTTCCTATATGAAGAAAGAATTTTTTTTAGAAACTTCAAGTAATTGATCATATGTAAGCTCACATACCTCTTTTATGATCAGAGTGATCAAGATGATCATCAACTTATAAGTATAGGTTTGTTACCTCCTCTTCTGCTTCAGTTTTAGAGGAGGCTGATGCTGAGTCCACCTAGAAAGCCTTTTGGGTTCTTTGCTTGCCCTTCTTAAACTTAGGTTTTTCTTCACCCTTTTCCTTTCTTAGGTGAGCTTTAAAAATTGGAAAATCAAACTTTAGATGCCTTGGCTTCCTGCATTCAAAAGAAATAACATCATAAGAAATTTTAAATTTTTTATTATTCTTACCTTTGTTCCATTTCTGATGATGCTTTTGTTTTTTTCTTAAGAAGCTCTTGAATTGCCTAGTTATTAAAGCAATATCACCATTTTCAGAATTATAAGAATATGTGTCAGAATCATTAGCCTTTAAGGCTACAGGTTTCTTGAAAGTTTGTTAGGGATGTCAAGCCCTTAAGAACTAGCCCGAGGCTAACCAAGAGGGGGGGTGTGAATTGGTATTTTAAAAAAAAATCTTTATGTAAAGAACTACAAAACTTAAAACCAAAGCACCATAGAAATCAAAGTGCAAAAAAAAAAATAAATAAATGCGGAAGCAAAATAAAGAAATATTACACCGGATTTATAGTGGTTCGGTCAATCCTTGACCTACGTCCACTCCTCGGAGGCACCCTCCAAGTATTGCACTAACTAAGTATCTCTCCTTTAGCTCCCACAACTAGGCGGAGAAGCCTTTACAACAGACTCCTTTTCACCAACCCCGGTGCGGCAGAGAACTGACTCTTTTTGCTTCCTCCTGAAGTGGGTAGAGAACCCAGACCTTTTGTTGAAGTAGACCTATCAAGAACCTCCCAAGGACGAAGGACGAAGAACGGAGACGACGACTTGGAACCTTGCTTAGAGCAACTTTTGTGAACCCTCTCACAAACTCCCCCTCACAAGTTCCTCTCTCTCTCTCTCTCTCTCTCTCTCTCTCTCCCTCTCCCAAGGCTCTCTCAGGTCAAGACAGCAGCACTAAAGGTCTTATTGCATGAGAAAATTCGGGTTTTTTAAATAGAATTTCAAGAACTGACATTTTCGTCCAGGACGATAGGAATATCATCATGGCCGATCAGTACAAAATAAGCTCAATCAGCCGGGACGAATTAGGACAATCAAAAGAAAATTGGTTACATCGTCCAGGCCAATACAATATCGTCCTAGACGATTAGTTCAAATTTGAGTATAATCATCCTGAACATCGCCCTGAATAGATTCTGGCTGATGTCAATCATCTAGTCCATCATCCTGGCCGATACTGCGATCGGCCCGACCGATGTGATCATATCAACCAGCCTTAATTTCTTTCCATAATTGCCAGATTAATTTAGGCATAATTGTGTTGTATCGTCTAGGACAATATGGAGCTCATCCGGGCTGATAATTTAAAATAAAGAATACCTAAATTGATCATTGCGGCTGATTCTTTCTGATTTGAGCCTATCGTCCTGACATATACAAGTATCGTCCAAGACGATTTGCTTAATGACGGCTGCTTAATTAGGATGCTCTAATTAGGATTTCTATTTTTAGTTGAATCATCCTGACCGATAGGAACATCGTCCATGCCAATGTACTCAAAACAGAAAAACTCAGAAAACCCCTCAAGTGTGTGTGTGTGCAAGGTTACATAGCATCAGGAACCACTTTTACAATTGACTCAAGAAAGGAAAAAATATAGACTTGACTCAACCTAAATCTACTCGATCTTGAGCTGGCTTGAGTTTCATTCGATCGTGTGATCCTGAAAAGTTAGTAGGCAAAGCTGTCATCGAAAAACATGAATGTTTGCTATCATCAAAAGTCTAATCCATAATCTCAGATTTGCAATATTTCTCATTTTCTTCTCTACTGCATCAAGCTGCCTGTGATTCACTCCTTACTCATAAGCAATGAGTGATCCAAATGAGTTATCAATTGAATAAGCATTTATATCCTTAGATTTGGTAATGACAATTATTTTTGCATAAAAGGAAGAATGTAAATATCTCATAATCTAGTTAACTTTTTCATAATTTGTGAGTTCTCTTCCTAAGGCATGTAGGAATGTTACAATTTATATAAACATAATATACATTTTAGAGATAGATTCGTTAGGTTTTATGCGGAAAAGTTTTTAATCATGAAGAAGAATGTCCAACCTAGATTGTTTAACTTTCTTTGTTCCTTCATAAGTAATGCATAGTTTGTTCCAAATCTCTTTACCAGTTGTACAAGTGAAAACACACATATAATCTTCAGATTTAAGGCACAGAAAAAATAGTTTAGACATTTTACATTCAGTTGTGCTAAATCTCTATCATCAGTAGTCCATTTAGAAAAAGGGATTTCAATTTTAACACCATTTACTAATCTAAAGGATGGAGAATAGCCATCATGAATTAGCATCCACATACGATAATCAATTGATTGTAAAAATGTGGACATGTAAGTTTTTCAAAAATAAAAAAGAATATTATCAAAAAGAGGTGGTATAGTAATTGAATATCCTTCCATGGTGCTTCTATTTCCAAATTAAGCATGGATCTTAATTCAAAAGTTTTCTAAAACTTAATCTAATAAATCTCGCTCTGATACTACTTGAAAGTTCATGAGGGGTATTAAATCCTAAAGAACTAGTCTAGATGCTAACCAAGAGTGGGGTGAATTAGTTATTTAAAAATATTTTAATGAAAAAGAATTATTTTTGAATTTTTTTAAACAAAGGATTTATGTAAAAGAAAAACTAATTTAACAATGACAAAGATCAGGGATATCGACCACAGATCAAATAAAAAAAATGCAAAAATTAAAATACGAAAAAATAAATAGAAAACACACACCAAATTTTATAGTGATTCGAATAACTTGACCTACGTCCTCTCCTTGGAGACTCACTCTCCAAGTATTACACTAAATAGAAGTGACTCTCCTTTTGCTCCCGAAGCAAGGCGGAGAAGCCCTTACAAAATCTTTCCACCGACATGGTGAGGCAGACAACCTTAAATCCTTTTACTCCCTCATGGAGTAAACATAGAACCTAAAAATTCTTTTTCAACCATATAGTGAAGGTAAAATACTTGGAAATCCTTTTACTTTCTTATGGAGTAGGCAGAGAACCTTGATATAATGCTGATGAAGATCTTCCGAAAGCCACCAAGGAACCAGAGAAGCAACTTGAAGAAGATAATGAACACCGTGCTTGGAGCAACCTTTGTGAATTCCTCACAACTCCCTCTCATAAGGATCTCTCTCTCTCGCTCTCCCTCTCTCTCTCTCAAGCTCCCCTCTTCCTTCTCTAAGCTCTCTCTCAGATCTCCTCCATAGCAAAAAAAACATCTTAAGTTATAATGAGAGAGCTTAAATAGAGAGCCTCCAAAAGATGTCCTAAATTTCAATTTTATGCTACTGATCGTCCTGTACGATTAGTAAAAAATAACCATTTCAGCCAATATGAATTACATTGTCCTGTACGATTTGTTCAATTGTAATAGGCATATCATCCTATACGATTAAAATATCATCTTGGACTATTATAATAAAATTATTGAACTTCGTCTAGTATGTTGCCTTGTCGTTCCATGCACTTCTCTATCGTCTAGTACGAAACGAGTCAATCGCCTATATGATTAGTTGAAAAATTATGGTATTCTCTTGGTACGACAGGTGGCGATCCCTTATCGTCTAGTGCCTGTTCTCTATCGTTTAGGACGATCGTCACCAATCATCCAGTAAGATCGGATCGATTTAAGTTTTATCATAATTGTTCTCCTAATCTCTTGATTAATATAGGCATGATTGTTATTTATCGTCCAGGACGATGTGGATCGTCCTGTACGATATATATAAATTTTGAATTTGAAAATACTGCCAAAATTGTGATTGGCGGCTATTTTTCACAATATGAATTGATCGTCTTGTATGATATGGATTGTACAATATGATTAATTTAATCTCACTTTTTTTATTTTTTTATTTTTTTTTATTTTTTATTTTTTTTATCATCAAAATCATTTTACTTGGGCCTATATTTGCATCAGGTAAAACCGTAGATGGCAAATTATCTTATTAGGGCAACAACTGACACAGGGAGATTGAGAGGATAAAGAGTCCTTGAGCCTGGTAGTGGTAGGTGAATAGAGTGTGAAGTCCCTATGATAGGTGCTATTTTGTAGCTGAGTCTAGTGAGCTCGAAGTAGGAGGATCTGATTGAGATAAGTGGCAATTTGTTTACTTTATGAGAAACTTCTTGGTTGTCTAGTGTAAGGCGAGCTCATCGACAAATGTAGTGAGTGACACCCATCGTTCTCCTTGGGCGAGTTCCTCCACTGGTCCCGGGCAAGCTGTTTGAGGGATCTGCTCCTAAGAGAGAATACCCCCATTACGTCTTGGTCGGTACCTGCTAAAATATATGAGAAGTCGATTATAGGTATATATATGAAATCAAAATTTCACTAGTTAACCTCATACATATTTTGATTTAAAATAAGAAAGCTCAAATATAAAAAATTAGTTTCATGTAATATTTAATCAAATATGTTTTATACTCAATTAATCAAGCAGAAAAATTTTTAGCCATAATTAAATATTTTAATGGAAAAAATTTGATTATATTTAGATATTTTAATAATTAATTGTTTTTTAATTGATTAGCGAAACTAAAGCAAATTGATAAACCGAAAAAAAAAATCCCCAATAATAAAAAAGAAGGATATAGCCTAATTCGTGAACTGAGGTGTCGACGGTCACGAGCCCAGCCGGCGCTGCGGACAATCTTAAGTAGTCCTCACACATTCATGTTAGGGTATTATCAACTTCTTTTAGAAATTGCTATAGATTCAGAACGAGGAGCCGTAAAGAGGTAAAGATGATTTTGTTGCATTGCGATTTCTGGGTTGTTGAGTCTTGATGTTGTTCATGTGGTGTTGTATTAAGGTTGGAAGCGATGGAGAGTTGTCGAGATTTTGTTGACTGGTTGGGGCCGGACGCGTCTTCCAGCGTGTTCATACTTCTCGACAATCCCACGGATCTCATGAGCGTCAGCGCGGTTTCCCGATCATGGCGGAGGCTCGGTGAGAGTTCCCTCTTTTCCTTTTTGCTGATTGAATTAGAATATACTTGTCGTGGGTTTCCTCGTTAGATTTTGTTTCATTTGAAACTATTCATATTAATATTTGAGCAATTTTATTATGTCGAATCTTGATTTGTTTGTGAGTAACATCTTAATCTTACCAGTCAACAAAATCTCGACAACTCGATAAGACTGATTAAGTAAGAGTAAGCTAGAGAGAGAAAGATAATTTAATAAGGATGATTAAGAGTAAGCTAGAGAAAGAAAGATAATCTAAAGTGAGAAGTTTTAATTTTACTAGATTGTAGAATGTATAAGACTTGAGCCAAAGAGATTTTATGTGGAACATTCATGCTATGAACCTCTGTTTATAGGGTTGTGTTGAGGCAGAGTGTTATAGGGAAAGATATATTTAAATTTTAATCTACATAAATAAAAAGTGAATAGCAATGTTTTAATAAATGCTTGTTCTAACTACATGAGTGTAGCCAAAAATAAATATAGAATAAATATTACTTGCTTGGTAAAAATTGAATCCATGCCAAGTTTTTTGCTAAGTTCACATGAATATGCTAAATACCGACAAGAAGCTTGAATGCTTAGGCGAACTGCCGTGGTGAATTGGGGTGAATTGCTTGGATTAAATACTTGATTGTTTTGGTGATTAGGCCTCGTCGGCCGTAAGGTTGGACCAAGTATATTAAATAAGGTGTTTTTTTATTAGCTTGATGATTGCAATGGATTGATTTTTTAAATTTGTCCGACTAGTTTTGATCATAATTAATTGGGTCAACTTGAATGGTACTTGATCCAGTGATATTTAGATTTACTTTTAGTTTTTCAATTGTCTTATATCTTTAGATAATATTTTTAAAAATTAAAGCATTAATTAAATCATCATGATGAACTGTCACATCATTAATTATGATGATTTGGTTGGTAACACCTTAACTCTATAAATAGGAGTATGAGAATGTCATTTGAAGATTGCACTAGTTCAATCATTTTATTCTTTTGTCTTGTTCTGTAACTTTTCTTCTTCAAATAAAGAGGAATCGCATTCCTGAGCTCAAGGCTAATGATTATCATAATAAAGGCCTGATTGGAAATATTGTTAAGAAATGTTGAAGGAAAAATTAAGACAAATGGAGGAAGAGATTTTTTTTTTCAAGAAGCTGCCACTTAAGAAGGTGACAATAGTAAAGTGATTATTGATTTTGAGACTTAGGCTTCATCTGGTTGGGTTGTTGCTTATGTCGAATAGAATTTTGAAGATGTTTATAAAAATGAGTTTAAAAAATCTTGTTTCAATAATGGATTGTTGTTTGAGTAAATTTCTTTTGAAGTGCGTACTAAAACCTGAAAGTTGATATTAATTGTTTGGTCATGTGTTCAACTCTAGCAATTTTAGAATAAAAGATTAAATTACACTTCTTCGAAATTTAAATAAATGTAATTAATTTTTATTGTTTTAAAATAAAAAGTATATGTTTGAGTAAATTTCTTTTGAAGTGCGTACTAAAACCTGAAAGTTGATATTAATTGTTTGGTCATGTGTTCAACTCTAGCAATTTTAGAATAAAAGATTAAATTACACTTCTTCGAAATTTAAATAAATGTAATTAATTTTTATTGTTTTAAAATAAAAAGTATAT